CCATTATGTTAGTATACTCATTTGTAATATCATCACAGAGTATGTTATAAACTCTGTGATGATAATTAAATATTTGGTTCTTTCCAGTTCTTTCATTTTACATGCTTGTTAATAAGCGAGACTTTTTATTTGCCTCAATAGGATTAGTAAGGTAAGGTTTAGCCCAGTTTGTGTTGCCTTGGTCCTATGCCTTTGGAAAATATCCACACAGTTATGAGATTATATGACCTCGTGAGACGTTGCCGACATCTACACCATGAATCCTCTACATGAGGCTGTCATCATAAGGCAGTGTGAGGCGCAAAGGAGTGATTGTATAGCCAAGGCATATAGGTAACAATACAGGTGCTATTGTCCCCCTTATTTGTACTTTTCCTATTTGTTGTATTTTTCTGTTCTTTTATTAATAAAAAACTTAGCCCTAGGCGCTTGCCTAGCGGATTGCCAAAAAAATAAAAAATAATACCAATTCCGACATCAAAATAATTATACTAAATATCTTGGACATCTAATCTAGACCATAGACATTCTACCCATTTTTCTTCACAAAGTTTCTACACATGGGATTTTCTTATCTTTATTCACAGATTTAAAAAATAGGCGATATAATAATGATAACTATTGAGGATACTCATTGACGAGCGCAAAACACAACACGAAATTCATGCTCGCTAATCAAAGATAGTATAGTATAATATCGTCTCCACATGCATTGGATTTAAACAATGTTCGAGTAATTCTTGGTTTAATTGCTATTCAAGAGGATCAACACTTGAGTTAAATGATTATGAACTAAGTTTAACTACTAAAATAAAGCAATTGACAATTGATTGCAAAGATCTAGAGATTAGCAGAGTTGGTTTCTTATAAATGTGAGGAATAAAGGGTTGCCAATATAGCTGCAAGATAGCTATTTGAGACTTAACTCTATTTTAATTCACTTTAATGTTCTAATGATTCTCACGAATTCACTCGATGATTAGTTCAAACGTTTAGTCAAGACTTCTCTCTCAATTAAATCTTAACTCTACGAGATGAACTAGTATAAGCACTGTGAAGTATGCAAAAATGCGTAAATGGAAGTTATCTCAATTGTAATTGAAGAATAAAAAAGCATCAATCTAACTTTATAATCCAAACTCTAGTATTGAATCGATGGGAAGATGATGGATTCCCGTGTCTTGTAGCCTCCAATGCTCTCCCAAATGTTCCAAGTTCAAAAGTCCTCTAAAAATCGTGTTTTTGATGTGTTTATACCATGTAGAAACGAGCCGGATGAAACTACCCTTTCCAAGCAGAAGTGGGACACTTGGACCGCGAAAATACACTTGTGCGCCGCCCCATGCGCCACAGTAGTGAGGATCTTAAGAGAATTGATTTTTTTCCACTTTGTAGGAATTTTGCACTAGCGCTATGAGCCCCGCGGCGCGGTAGTGCAATTTTATCAGAGTAATTTTTGTTTTCTCACTTTTTGATATCTAGACTTGGTCCTCACTCCCCGAACGTGGTCCCGACTTAATTTCTTGGTCTTTTACTCTGACTTCAAAGCTCCACCTTGTTCGATTTTGTTCTAAATTATCTTTTTATCTCGGAATCACTTCTTGCAAGGCATAAAACACATAATAAGTGCAATACACTAACATTTAAGCTCAAACACAAGTGAAATGCAGTAATTGGAGTGCAAATTATTACTAATACACGAGTTTCTAGCCTACCATCACTCATAGCCACATTTTTCAATGCTCCGTAAAACTTCTTTTGTAGCTGCCAGTTTTATTTAGACTCTCGTCTCCAACTATCACATATCGTTTTAGATACTTACAAATCATATTCAGATAAACATATTATTATTGAGGTTAAAAAACGTACACTCCTTAAGAGTTTGTTCTCTTCTTGACAACATTGTAGAGAAAATTACTCGACATATTTATGAAATACTTCATCTATGTGCGTACAAAAAGTCTAGGAGAAAAAGAACGAAAAATATTTTGATTATTTGTTTAAGATTGGCTAATTTTAACATAATTAATGAAAGATAGTGATTCGCTACAATTTAAGTGTATTAATGTAATAATAACTTCAAAGCAAAAAAAGTTAATTAACGAACCTACAAAGAAAAATCCTCTAAATGATTGGCATTTTAAACCTAATCAAAATTTTAAAAGCCACAATACAACAAATCAGTGAGGTATTGAAATCCAAATAATATGAGGCTACTTGACTATGTGCAACCAGATACTAATAGATTTGTAGAAAATGCACATTTGTATTGTAGAAGTACAAATTAATAACTTATAGTTATTAAAAATACAAAACAACTATAAGAATTCTGCAAAACAACAACAACAACAACAACAACAACAACAACAACAACAACAACAACAACAACAACAATGACCCAGTATAATCCCACAAGTGGGGTCTGGGGAGGGTAATATGTACGCAGACCTTACCCCTACCCCGAAGGGTAGAGAGGCTGTCTCCAGGAGACCCTCGGCTCAAAAAAGCAATAGGAGATGATATATTAGTACCATAAAAATGTATAATAAAAATAACAACAATATATAAGAGATATGAAATACAAATTCTACAAAAAAAAGACTATAAATTTCTTTAAAAGAGTAATCGAAAAATATCAAGCTCGAATGGTAAATATATCTGATATAAGCAATAAACATATCAAACTAGAAAGAGAGAAATTATTGATCTTCCTCATCTAGATATGCTTCTAGCAACATTAGCCTTAGATTATGTTGGTTATTAGATGAATAATGAGTGACATGTTAGAAGATATTCTGAAGATTAAGAATGTTACTTCTACTTTATTTTATGCCCGTTATGTGTTTTCTCAAAGAAATCATGTAAGAAAGTTTCAAACGGATTATGCAAATAATAAAGTTGGTCTGATATTGCGAATCATGTCGACTCCTGAAAGAATTACCCTACACATGTACAAAAAAAGAATCATAATTTTCTAAAAAATAAAAATACCACGGGCAATAACATTGGAACTGAATTGCATACAAAAGAATCTTGAATACACCAATAGGTTGAGAAGGTTTTATATTATTAGGTCATCCAAAAGATATCTATAGGTAACACTCCATAAAAAAGAGATTTTGTAACCTAACAAAGGTAACCTAATTATATTAAAAAATTTGACATTAGATATCATACGCCATATAATTTAAAACTTTTTAACATTTTGTTTAATGATCCTTCAAAAGTTTCGAACTTGTGAGGTTCTTTTTAATCTTTAAAATCTATATGCTTAGACAAATTTTTTGATTTGAGAAGAATTAAGGTTGATTGATCTTCAAGTTCGATTCTTTCCTAATGATTAAACAACCCATGAATACAACACTATTATAAAAAATCTAGGTATTATTACTCATAATATTGTAATCCCATGCATTATATTCCTTGCATAACTTTAGATGGTTGTTGCCTATTGTATTGTATCGTACTGTTACTTAAAATGCAATGTTTTGTTTTGATTGTTACTTAAATTTTATTGTATCGTATAGTTAAATATGTCGTGACGTAACAACGAAAATTGCCTTTTTATGTAACGACGGATTTGGTATGGTGGCGTCGCTATCTTCCTTTTTTCTCTCATCTTGCCCTTTTTTATTATTAAATAAATATTTTATCCTTTACTTTTTACATAATATTCTACTCCATATTCTATTTTTTTTAGTAATGTTACAAGTTTATTCTTCATATTGTTGGTGCATGACATTATGAAACGACGACAAACAATACATTGTATCCAAATATTGTATTCATCAAACAATACAATACTATGCAGTAGAATACAATACAATACATTATGAAACGACATGTAACAGCCATCCAAACAAGTTGTAGGTTTTTAACTTTCAAAAAGTTCTCTTTTTCTATTTGAGAAAAGGTTACTTTACTTTTGAACTTTAAAGATAGAACCTGAAAATATTGTAAATTTCTGCCCCTAGTAAATAGTATGTTTGTAATTGTCTCATTTATTTGCTCCTGTTACCATGTGAATTTAATTTCAATTTAATTTGGTTGGTGTCTAGGTGGAGAAGATTCCACAATCATTTGAATCAGTGGAACATTACCTTGGTTCATTTTTCTTCCCCTTACTTGAAGAATCAAGAGCAGATATTGCTGCTTCCTTAAAAGACATAAACAAAGCACCTTTCGCCGAGTTGATTTCCATTGATGAAGTAAAGCGAAATGGATCGTTGGTTTTTGATGTTAAGGTTGACTATTGGAGGAATACATGTAGTGATGGTACACGTTATAGGACGTCGCCCGGAGATATTTTTGTTATGTCAAATGCTAAACCTGAAACTACTTATGACTTGCAGCGACCGGGATGCCATTGGACGTTTGCATTTGTTACTGATGTCAATAAGAATGAAAATGATGCATCGGCTAGTTTTAAAGTCAGAGTTCCTCCACATAATGTAATGCGACGAACGTTCTATATAGTGTTTTTGGTAAATGTGATGCCTAATAGCAGCGTATGGAATGCATTGAGAATGCAAAAGAATTTGAATATAATTGAGGAAGTCCTGTACCCCGTGCACGAGGTAAATGATGTTGGTGATTTACTTATTTTTAGTTTCTTTTAGAAGCCTCATCTCGAGGTTTCTCTCTTATCCAAAGTATGAATTTGAATATCGATGAAAGCAATGCCCCCTTTATTCTTCTGATATTTTGCTGTTATGATAAAAGTGGATTTTGAAATGAAAATGGTATCTTGGTCTAAAATGATCCGTGCGATTAGTTTCAAGTTAGTGTATTACGGTTATGTCTCTCAATTGTGACCAGTAAAGTTTTTAACAGAGTTATCTTAGCATTCTTTCCAAAATTAAAAAGAAAAACTGGTGTCAAATGTATGTGTGTGGATATCTGTGTGTGTGTGTGTGTTTCTGCTTATATGTATGTCATCTACTGCAGGATCCAAATTTGTTTTTTTTTCCTTTCTATTTTTCCATTGATAATCAGTTTTCAAAGTTGATTTTTTTTTTGTTTTATGAATGTTCTTTTATCATAATTTTGCAATGTTGATGCACCAAAACCTTTTTTTGGGGGACTTGAATTGCATTTCTTTGTCAACCTTTTTTTCCCCTTGGCCTATATTATTATTATTTTTTTTAATATGTTTTCTGTGGACATTAAAGACACTTTGTCTCTTGTTAGTTTACGGATTAGAACACATTCTCTTGGACTATATGCTTCTATTCTTCTCTCCTGTGTATCTTTGGATAGGTGGAAACCAAGAACGATATAAACATTTGTTGATATTTGTCTTCTTGCAGAAACGAATCGAACAGAAATGCGAGGTTTGTTCCACATCCACTAATGATGGATTAGTTGGAGAAGTTGTGTGTAGTCCGTGGTCCAAGTTGAACGATTCCCAGGCTAATGCAATCTTTACATGTCTTGCCACTATGAAATGTCACCACAAGGCTTCCGTCAAACTTATTTGTGGTCCGCCTGGTACAGGAAAGACTAGGACACTAAGTGTAATGCTCTTTACGCTGTTGCAAATGAAGTATAGAACTGTTACTTGTGCTCCAACGGACGTAGCAACAGCCCAAGTTGCTTCAAAGTTGGTTAAACTAGTCCGGGAATCATCTAAGAATGAATTTGAAGGCTTTTTTCCTTTAGGTGAAATTCTCTTGTTTGGGAATAACAACTATGATGAGGGTGAAGATATTGGGAAGATTTCCCTCAATTATCGTGTTGACAGGCTGGCGGAGTGCTTTGAACCAACAACCGGTTGGAATCATTGTGTTAGTTCTATGATCGGTTTTCTGGAGGATTGCCAATACATCTCATTGATTGATTTTGCCAGAGCCCCATTTAGGTCGACAGCTTCATCTCTCCGAAAATGCATGCTTATAATCTGTACTCATTTACCAATATGTTTCATTCGAAAAGAGAACATTGAAAGAATGACGAGCGTTTTCTCCTTACTGGATTCTCTTGAGGGGATGCTATTTCAAAAGAATGTCGTATCTCTTGAACTATGTCAGCAAGCATTTGGAGTGTCTTCTTCTAAGTCATTTTTGGGTGACTTGTCTTTACACAGTTTCTGTAGCCGGTTGCTTGTCCTTCTGAAAGATCTTCAGAAATCTCTCAGGAAACTGGATCTTCCTTGTGCAACGAGTAAGGGTCTTATAGCGGAGTTCTGTATCCAAATGGCTTCCTTGGTTTTCTGCACTGCTTCTACTTCATATAAGCTACATTCAGTGGATACAAAGCCATTTGACTTATTGGCTGTTGATGATGCGGACAAGTTGAAGGAGTGTGAAGCAGTAATACCCCTTCAACTTCGAGGTTTGAGGCATGCTGTTCTGGTCGGAGATGAGTGCCAATTATACGCAACAGTGAAGAGTAGAGTACGTATAACGTTTTTACGTGGAATTTAAAGGAACTTCAATTGATAATAATTTTACCATATTTATATTAATAGAAGTTTATTACTACATTCTAGATTTCTCATGAAGCTGGATTTGGAAGGAGCTTACTCGAAAGACTCGGCTCGTTAGGTCATGCAAAGCACCTGCTTAACGTACAGTACAGGATGCATCCGTCAATAAGCCAGTTCCCGAATTCAGTTTTCTATCGTAAGCAAATCCTTGATGCACCTGATGTAAAGCGTAAAGGCTACGAGAAAATGTATCTTACGGGACAGTGTTTTGGGCCGTATTCTTTCATAAATGTACCGTGGGGAGAAGAAGAGTTGGATAATGTTGGATACAGGCGAAATTTAGTAGAGGTTGCGTTGGTACTGCAAGTAGTGGAGAGCTTGTTCAAAGGTATAATCATATTAAAAATTTTGTTAAAAATTTTCTTGAATGCTCCCCTTGTCCTTTTATCTTCTTAATTTATCTTTATCGACACTAATTAATTAGTTTTTAATCCTACATCTGCTTGGTAATGTGATTTCATCTATTAATATTGCTAAAGTTAGGACAATGGACGACTGCTCTTGCATTTCAGGAAGCATATATGATTAGTCCATGATAATACAAAAACATTTTGTGGCTATATTTTGCCTCAATGATGTGTTGCTTCATTTAGATGTTGGGGACTCTCAACTCTCATGGTGCTTATCTAGTTGGACATAACCTACTAAACGGCTTTTAAATAATGGTCTTTGTCCATAAGGACGATAAGACTTTCCAAAAGCATAAAAAAAAAAAAAAAAAAAAAAAAAAAAAAAAAAAAATTAGAGGGAGTTGTGGATTATATATGTAAATAATAGGGAATGTAGTCTTAAGACAAATACAGGGTTTTGGACCAAAGTGACTGGGTTCGGCCGAACCCGTATTGTCAATGCTAGCTCCGCCCCCTGCTCGTTACTAGAAAAAAAGGAAGAGGCTTGGGCATTAGGAGTGTGAGGCAACACAATAGTTGGCTACTAATGAAGTGGCTGTGGAGATTCACCACAGAAGAACAAGCTTTGTGGAGAGAAGTAATCACGGATAAATATGGTCAAGAAAGTTTCTGGTGTTCAAAGTGTGATTTCAACATATGGGGTGGGAGTGCGGAGAAATATCAGGAATTTATGGTTTTTAGTAAAGTCTTGCTATGCCTCTACAGTTTAGCACAATCTTAGTTCTATAGCAATCTCCGCCTCTGAATGTTAGGCCGATTCTAATTTTGCAGCTTGGAGTGCCTCCAAGAAGAAACTCAGCATTGGTGTTATATCACCGTATGCTTCTCAAGTTTTGGCCATACAAGATAGACTTGGACAGAAGTATAATAAGGATGCACATTTTGAAGTTAAAGTGAACACGGTTGATGCATTTCAGGGAGGGGAAGAAGATATTGTAATAATATCTACAGTGAGATCTAATCGTGCTGGGTCCATTGGCTTTTTGTCAAGTCTTCGTTGGACTAATGTTGCGTTAACCAGGGCCCGGTATGGATAAAATTTATACTCATCACAATTTGTATCTTTCTGCTTCTAATACGATGTCTAAGATTTTCAATTCTTTCTAGGCGTTGTCTCTGGATATTGGGAAATGAGCAAACATTACTTGCTAGCAACTTCATCTGGGAAGCACTAGTTCTCGATGCCAAGGATCGTCAATGCTTCTTTCACGCAGACGACGATACTGACATGAGAAAAACAATTTTAGATGTGAAGAAAGAACTTGATCAACTTGATGATTTACTAAATGGGGATAGTATTCTGTTCAAAGAACAAAGATGGAAGGTACATACATTTATTAATTTCTCTTGCTTTTGTTACATAAATAAATGGACAAAGTCACATTTTGGTCTTTTACATGAGATTGGATAGACATGGAATAGAAAGAATTAGAGATGGGTCATTTTATAATGAATTCATGACACCGTGAGGTGTGAACATTACATGCACTCGGATTTTTGGGCTTCGAAGCTCGTATGTTCTAACTTACATTGGTTATAGTTTGAAACATTTGTCATTGTGTAAAGAACTTTGGTCACTATCATTAGTCACCCGCAACTACTTCTTTTGGTTGTCTGTTGTCTGCTAAAATAGTCGTGTATCAATCCTTTTACTTGGTCCTCAGCTGTATTGTCTTCTATATGGTTCTTCAGGTAGTGTTCAGCGACAATTTTAGAAAATCATTTCAAAAGCTGGCATCCTCTTGCTTGAGAAAGTATGTGTTAACTCTTCTGGTTAAGCTTGCTAGCGGATGGCGGCCGAAGAGAAGTAATGTAGAGTTAGTTTGTGAAAGCTCATCTCAGGTGGTTAAGCAGTTCAAGGTGGTTGAAGGGCGTTATGTTGTTTGTACCATTGAAATTCAAAAAGAGTTCTTTCATACACAAGTTCTAAAGGTTTGGGACTTATTGCCTTTGGAGGAGGTTGCGGGTTTCTTAAGACGTCTTGATAGGATATATTTAATGTACACCGATGAATTCATCAGCCTCTGCAAGGAGAAGTATTTTGAGGGGTAAATTGGTTCTTTTACGCTCCATTGTTCTTAATATTATGATAAAATTATCTCCTTAAAAATTTCTTCAAATTTAACTTTTCATCTTCTGTTTAGGGATTTGGAAGTTCCAAAGAGTTGGAAGGTTCATCGTGATATAGTTCAGTATAAAAAGGATGTCGAGAGCAAATTGATTTGTGGCTCAACTAGTACACTCGATGACATTGATTATGTTGAAAAATCAAGAGTGAGTGAAAGTTTGTTGTTAATGAAGTTTTACTCATTATCATCTGGTGTTGTCTCGCATTTGCTCTCCGATCACCATGGTGAAGAAGTAGATATCCCTTTTGAAGTTACTAATGAAGAGAGGGAGGTAATCCGTTTTAGTAAAAGCAGTTTCATCCTTGGCCGCTCAGGCACAGGAAAAACTACTGTGTTGACAATGAAGTTATTCCAAAAGGAGCAACAACACCATAGTTCTGTTCAAGGATTTAGTGTAGCGGAGGGAAAGGAGGTAAATCAATGTGCATGGGAAACGAGAATTAGATCATACAAGGAAAATGAAGAGAGCCAATGTATTGGAGAGACTAGCAGGACAACCTTGCGCCAGCTATTTGTGACAGTTAGTCCCAAACTATGTTACGCTGTCAAAAAACAAGTTTCTCAGCTACAAAGGTGATTGATCTAATCTGCTTTCGAGAGTTCCCTGGTGAAAATAGGAAAAGGATAATTACTATATAGTATATTCTTATTATCGTTATATGTATAATTCATTAATCATTATAAATCCTTCATCTTATGCTATTTAATGTAAAAATTTGTTGATCCTAATTGTGTTCCTCTAACACTTACCACTCATAAATCTGCAGGTTTGCCTGTGGAGGAAGTTTTTGGGCGGAAAGTAGCTTCGAAGTTGATGATTTGGATGGAATGAAGCAGTTTAATGACATACCGAATTCCTTTATTGACATTCCATACCAAAAATACCCTCTTGTGATCACATTTCATAAATTCTTAATGATGCTTGATGGAACTGTAGGTTGCTCCTACTTTGATAGATTCACTTTGAAGTGGAAACTTTCCAATGAAAGAAATTTGAGGTCAGTTGCTGTACAAACTTTCATAAGAGAGAAGGAGATCAACTATGACCGCTTCTGTTGCTTGTATTGGCCTCGCTTCAGTAGTCAGTTGACCAAGAATCTTGATTCTTCAAGGGTCTTTACTGAAATAATCTCTCATATAAAAGGAGGGCTGCAAGCAGGGGATTCTCATCACGGAAAGCTAAGTAGAGACGCCTATATTTCAATGTCTGAATATCGGGTCTCCAATCTCACTGCGGAAAAAAGAAACGGAATGTATGATATTTTCCGAGCTTATGAAAAGATGAAGATGGAGCGTGGTGAATTTGATATATCTGATTTAGTTAATGATCTCCATCATCGACTAAAATGTCATCATCTGGATGGTGACAAGATAGACTTCGTATATATTGATGAAGTTCAGGATCTAACAATGAGACAGATTTCTCTTTTCAAATACATTTGCAGGAATGTTGATGAAGGTTTCGTTTTCTCTGGAGATACAGCCCAGACAATTGCGAGAGGAATAGATTTTCGATTTGAAGACATAAGAAATCTATTCTACAATGAGTTTGTCATGGACTCAAAGGGTGACAAAGCTTCCAAAAGAATAGATAAAGGACACTTGTCATGTGTTTTTCAGTTGCTTCAAAATTTCCGCACTCATACTGGTGTACTCAAGCTTGCTCAGAGTGTGATTGATCTACTTCGTCATTATTTCCCTCAATCTGTAGATGTCTTGAAACCTGAGACAAGTCTTATAGATGGTGCGGCTCCAGTGTTGCTCAAGCCCGGAGATGATGAAAATGCTATTATAACTATTTTTGGGAATTGGGGCAATAATGTTGGCAAAATAGTAGGCTTTGGTGCAGAACAGGTAATATTAGTTCGTGACGAATCTGCCAAGAAGGAGATCTCTGGTTTAATTGGACAGAAAGCTCTTGTTTTGACCATTGTGGAATGCAAGGGCTTGGAATTTCAGGCTAGTGTTCTGCTTGCTTGTTGTGCTTAACATTTCAGTTAAAGTTGAATTCACTTGTCTTTTTTCCTTTAATTTCACTGATAGTTGACAGAATGTTGTGGCGTGGCTATTACTTAAGAGCTTAGTGTAGAACCTTTACATGTCATAACTCGAGGGTTTAACAAACATGATAACTGATTAATGCACGTGGATTAGCATACTTACTACTAGGGTTGAATAATAAGCTGTTTACCTCTTTCTCCCGCCTTTCTTGACCTTAATGTAGGTAGTCTGTGGCATAATTATCATATTATAGGAAGTTCTGTTGTATTGAAGGATCCAAAAACAGTACCTCTACTCTGTGGTCGTACATGATAGACGCATGCTATGGAAGTACGAAAATACTTTCATGTGCAATGTCTATTTCTATAAGGTTCGTGATATGTATTATTCATGTGCAAGGTGTCTTTTTTTATAATTAAAGTTGAGAAGAAGTAATGTCATTTTTTTTTCTCACATATAACTAATAGAATCTGCTACAATAATTAGAGAGACATTGCAAATCTGTCATTTGATCCCATTATTCTAGAAAGTAAATTCCTTATTTTAACGGGTATGTATGACTAAATTATATTGGAACTAATGCAGATTTAAATTTCTTGACTATCTGAAGATTATACATACTATACACACACACACATAAAGTTCATTTGACTGAAATATTGGTAGACATTATAAGACAGAACAGGTTGGTTTGCGGCACTTAACTTACCTTGTTACAGTTTTAATTCTACTTATAAGGAGGGAGGTAGAATAGGTTTAAATAAAGATATGCTACTGGTAAGATAAGACCTGGCAACAGAGGCGGATCCAGGATTTAAACCTTATGGATTCAACTTTTAAGGTTTATAGTATTGAACCTATTATATTTTTAAAGTTATGGGTTTATATCTACTATTTTTGCAATTTTAATGAATTTTTACGTATAAAATTTTACTCTGCGTCAAAGGTTATGCGTTCAATTGAATCCGTCGGTAGAACATTGAATCTGCACCTGGCTGGAAAAACGAGCTAGTATCTCCACCCACTTTAAACTTGAGTAGGTAGAACTAACGTATGTTGCAAATGAAGAACAAAATTGTGGAAAAATTGCTGAATATATTACATTTTTGCTGTCTTTTACTGAATTCTGCTCATCATTTGTAGGATGTACTCCTATACAATTTTTTTAGCTCATCGCCACTTGGAAATCAGTGGAGAGTTGTATATGAGTTCATGAATAACCAAAGTTTAGCCGATTTATCCTTCCCAAGTTTCTCTGATACAAGACATAATGTCTTGTGTTCTGAACTGAAGCACCTTTATGTGGCAATTACTCGAACGAGGCAAAGATTATGGATCTGTGAAAGCGCAGATGAGTTTTCTAGGCCTATGTTTGATTACTGGCAAAGGTTGTGTCTTGTGAAAGCGAGGGAGGTCGATGATTCAATTGCAGAATCTATGCAAACTTTTAGTACTCCGGAGGAGTGGAAATCAAGGGGAATGAAGGTCAAGTTGATCTTCCTTGTTCAATTGATTCAACGTTTTTTTCTCAGTCTCATGTCATTAAAATATGCATCTCAATATTTCCCTGTCCTCATAAAATGGTTTATGTTATAATGCCAGCTATTTTGGGAAAAGAATTATGAGATGGCAATAATGTGCTTCAAGCAAGCAGGAGAAATGAATTGGGAGAAAAGAGCAAAGGCAGCTGGTATCAGGGCAGCTGCTGGACGAGTTCTTTATTCAAATCCCGAAAAAGCTCGCGCCTATCTTCTTGAGGCTGCTGAACTATTTTATTCTATCGCCAGGTTCGAGTCTGCAGCTGAGTGTTTTTATGACTTGAGGAACTATGAACGAGCAGGTATGACATTGGTGATATTTCCTGTAAATTTTCCTTTCTTTCCCCCTGAGTTCCTAACCTATTGGGGTTTTTTTCTTTTCTTTTCCAACTCTGCAGCTTTCTTGTGTTTGCATTTTAGGTCATTTTTGTACTTTTGTTTCTTAAAGTGTAGACATCTACTTTATGCGTTGGTTATATCTGGTATTTACTGCTATAAAATGCATATAAACCAGTGTCTCTGCTTCATCCTTTCTCATTGAGCTATTTTTGATCTTTTGTGCTAATAAGTAAAGATTTCCTCGTCATCATTAATTATACATAAGTAAATCTCATATGTGATGGTGTTTTTGGTCAATCTGTATAACGTGAAAATCCTATCTGCAGGAAGTATTTATTTGGACAAGTGTGGTGAATCTAAACTTTTAGAAGCTGCTGAATGTTTTTTACTGGCCGGTCGCTATAAGCGCGCAGCAGCAGTTTATGCAAAAGGAAATTATTTCACAGAGTGCCTGTCTGTTTGTACCAAAGGAAAATGTTATGACTTAGGTCTGAAATATATTGAGTACTGGAAGCAACATGCTGCCCAGGGTACTAATATCGGGAAAAGTGCTGATGAAATTGACAAAATTGGGAAGGAGTTCCTTGAGAGTTGTGCATTTAATTATTTTGAGCTTAAGGACACATCATGTATGATGAAATTCGTCAGAGCTTTCCCATCAATGGACATGAAGCGCAAATTCTTGACGTCTCTAAAGTGCCTTGACGAGCTGCTTTTGTTAGAAGAAGAGTCAGGAAACTTTGCTGAAGCTGCAGAAATCGCACGGTTGAAGGGAGATATTCTTTGTGAAGCTGATATGATCGGGAAGGGAGAGGAATTCGATAAGGCATCCTCACTCATCCTCTTGTATGTACTCTCTTACTCCTTATGGATGGCCGGAAGCAAAGGTTGGCCTATGAAGTCGTTCGTACAAAAGGAGGATCTTTTAACGAAGGCGATGTCATTTGCGAGTCATGGGACAAGTTTTGAAACCACGTGCATTGAGATTAAAGTTTTATCAAATGAGTCAGGTGATTGGTCTGACTTGAAGCATATTTTCAGCGCCTCTCAGAAATGTAGATGTCTCGTAGGTGAAATTTTATGCTGTAGAAAAATGTTGGATTTTCATTTCCAGAATGATGCAGCGAAGTATGTTTGGGATGATAAATTATCGGTCAATCTACAGAGTTCAGGAGAACTGCTTTCGTGCTGTAAGGTTACTGTTGGAACGCTGGTTCAGTTTTGGAATTCGTGGAAGAAAAATGTCTTTGACGTTCTTGATTCTCTTGAGTGCCTCGGAGAAGTAAATTTTGGTGAATTTAAGGGAGTTGGTGAATTCTGCTTAAAATACTTTGGTGTAAGGCAGCAGTTGAATGGTCTCAACGTTTCATATGTTCTGCTGCATCCAGAGGCCGAATGGGTCAAAAATATTCACAACTTTGTCATTAGACGGAACAAGCAGATTGTATTTGTTGATGCTCGGCATTTTATTTCTGCTGCTCGGATACATTGGCATACAGAATTAGTCATAGTCGGTCTGAAGGTTCTCGAAACTCTTGCATCCGTATATGAGTTGGCTGCAAAGTCAATGCCTCTATTTTGTCAAAGCATGTGCCTACTAAATATATACGAGATTGCAATGTCTTTAAGTGAGTTCAAACACCATGATTTGAACAATTTTGAGGGGAGAATTCAGAACTTTCTGACACTATCTACAGAGTACTTTGAAAAGGTATTCCCCCTTGACCCCCGACAATCAATGGTTGAAAGTATGATTTCTTTAAGGAGAACAAAGCTTTCCTGTGACTTACTTCAAGAATTCATCGTTCAAGATATTGGCAGCAGTTATCCTCTTAGCTATGGACAGATTGGAAGGATTGTGATCATATGGCTTAGTTCCGGAAAAATTTCCGACGAGCTGTACAAGATGATTGTTGGAAGAATCCCATCAGATGCTCCCTTGAAATCATTCATTGAAATTCTCAGATGCACGAAACAGAGAGGTAGCGTGGAAGATTTTCAGTCTGGCGATTCTGTTGGTGGCGGCAACTTGTTAGAATTTCAAGACATTCTATCAAGTAACTGTAATCTTGAATGTTCTTTGGAATCTCTGAATAATCCAGTTGAAACTATGGAGGTTACGTTATTGCGGATATTTTATGAAGATTTGCAGGATACCTTCAGTGCGAATTGGAAGAAAATGGATGAGAATTGGATGAAAATAGGTGACTGTTTATCTCCTTGTTGCTTCTTGTATCTCGTAGAACGCTTTCTGATTTTGGTATCTCAGTGTCGTGGATTCTTCTTCACCGCGAAATCTTCATTTGTGGAATGGCTGATCTCTGAGCAGTTTGAAGCCCGACCAACTTACGGGCATGCAATTAACACACTGCCTTTAGAAGAGTTTTATGACTCCATTCTTGTAATGGTACAAGAAGTCATTTATGATAAGGCTGGTAGAGTTGAGTGGATTGCACGATCTAACATTAACGTTGATCTGTACTATAAGCAAATGGTCTTGAGATTGGTTCTTATCCTGTGCGTACTGTGTGTGAACTGTGAGAAATACTTTGATGTTCTTTTTAAAGCACTCAGCATCGATGATGTTAGGAGCCAACTTCCAGAGGAAATTTATGCCATTCTTCAACGAGGAACAGAGAATAACGATCTTCAGATTAGTGAAATTGGACAAGCTTTTCAAAAGGGCGGAGATCCTCTTCTGGTTGTCAACCTTGATGAGACTGTTGCAGAAATTGAGTATTCCAATGTCATTTCTGTCCGGCTGGGAGCAAACTGCAGCAGAGAAGACATCCTGAGTTTGTTGTTTCCAGCGAAAACTTGCAGTTCACTAATTCAAACTTCCACTGTTCGAGAAGTCATTTCTGATCCATGCGCTAACTTTTCGTCACATTGTGGTAATCAACCAAAGAGTTCAACAATGCGACTGAATTGGTTGTCGTTTCAGGAAATATCAGATGTCTTGAATTCTAGTGGTAGTGATGAGTGTGGAACTTCAGCAGATTTCTCAACTCTTAATTTGAAGGTGAAGCTAATCCTAATGCTCTCTTATGAACTAGAACTCAGTAATACTGTGTACTGGGCTAGGTGAGCGTTGGCGTAACTGGTAAAGTTGCTGCCATGTGACCAGGAGGTTATGGATTCGAGCCGTGGAAAGTGGAAACAGTGCCTTGCAGAAATGTAGGGTAAGGCTGTGTACAATAGACCCTGTTGTCCAGCCCTTCCCCGTACACCGCGCATAGCGGGTGCTTAGTGCACCGGGCTGCTCGTGCTTTTCTCTTTTTCTATTATGTTACTAAACTTTTCTTTTGTTATTTTAAGGAGGAAATGAATGCTAATGTGAACTATTTGACTGCTGCAATTAATCTATCCTTGAGTGAGACGCCTTATGCTTGCGAGAACATGGTGGAGGAAGCACGTAATATGCTTCAGGAGTTGATACAACTCGATTCATTGATGAATACGAGGTGCGATCTTGTTCTTAACCACTGTACTCTTCAAATTTACCCTGCTGGATTATATCATGCTGCCTGTAGTTAAGAGTATGCCTTTAGATCAACAAAATGGAGTTCCACCCGCCCCTTGACATATTTATTTGATTAGATTAGCAAGGGGCTAAAGTTTTTTGCTTAATGTTATGCAGCCCTCTGGATAGGGGAAGCATTGAAAAATTGTTAGAGAGCTTGTTGTCAAAAAAGCCGAACCTAGAAGTTTTCTTGAATCAGTTCATTGTGCCCGAGGATAACAGCTGGAGCGTTGCATTAAAGAACCAATGCGAGGAAATACTTGATGTAGTGTGTAATGAAGTTGCTGCAACGGATTCTGAGACCCGAGTTGGTGATCAGGGCGCGGGAAAAAAGCAGGGTAAAGCGAAGGGCAAGTTCAAGAAACGGAAAGGAAACAGGAAGAAGTGAACTGTACTTTTTGTGCATCTTTGTGCTGTGAATAACTATGAGTTGAAATGAACTCTTCTGTAAGATGTTCTAAAGGAAATGATATGTAAGATAGTCAAGTAAAAGAAAGTAGAAAGGAATATATGTATCTGTCCTTTGTTTGCAATGATTCTTAGGGTGAGTGCTCTACGAACGAAATGTTTTTCAATTTTCCTATGTTTTGTTAGATTGAATATTTTAATTTTTTTTTTTATGAATTTATTTTCCTTCAAAAAAGAATATATATTTCTATTAATTGGAGGAAAATATCTTCTCTACCAAGAGGGGGAAAAATATTTTTCAAAACTCTCTTTCAACCTTCTCATCCCACCCCACCTCTAAATCCACATACTCACCACCTCGCCCCTATACCTCGACTTATTATCTTGCACCCTGATCACCTCGATCCACCCCTACCATAGCCACCGTCCAACCGCCTGCCCCAGCAAATCTCTTCTTCCCAACCCAAACCTCGCCCTAGTCTAGGGGTATCAATGGATATTTAAAAATCGACTAAACCGATCGAACCATACCACACCGAATCGATTTTTAGGTTTCTTTTAATAAAATCGTAGGTTTCTATATAAGTCTATAACTGTACTGATAATTAGGTTAGGTTTTTTGTTTTATGAAAATAAATCGAAAAATACCGAACCGTACCGAATAAATTTACATGAAAAAAATATATTTAGTTTAAAAATAATAAAATATTACTCCCTCCGTTTCAATTTAGATGAGGTAATTTGACTCGGCATGGAGTTTAAGAAAAAAAAATACTTTTGAAACTTGTGGTCTTAAAAGCTTTAAGGGTAAAAGCTTTGTGGAGCCAAAACATTTGTGTGGTTATAAAAGCTTCTCATTAAGAATAAAATGAGTAAAATGAAGAGTTTAAAGTTGAATTATTTTCAAATTTAGAAATGTGTCATTTATTTTGGAACAGACTAAAAAGGAAAGTACTGCATCTAATTTGAAACAGAGGGAGTAATTTTTGTTGGGCCTTGAAATTATGAAAACAGTTACTGGCCAACAAGTAATTAAACTCAAAATCCTAATTCCCAAAGCTATTATACTACTATTGAAACTAAATTATTTCCAGTATATTCACTAGCAAGACACAAGGTATTCTAGCAATTATGAGTAGCAAACTACAATGTATTGTATATTTTTTCTTTCGTATTATTTTAATTTAAATTTTCGAATATTTAATCTTCTATAGACTTTATTCTTGAGTTCCAACTTACTTAATATCTTTCCATTCGTATGATTTATATTTTCTTTGTCTTTGCATAGTTTCTTTTACGCTTGTGTAGAATAATTGATGGATCTATACTCTGACCATCTTTCATATTTTCTTAATTCATCACCCTTTAAATAGTAAAATGTTTAGATAGTTTTGCGAAGTCCTATAAAAGTACATATGTTGTTGCATTCTGCTTCTACTAGTGACTTTTAAGTGTCATTTTAAAAAATACCGAAAATTAACCTCACCGAACCGTACTGATACTGAAGAGAAACAGCCATGATTGGTACGGTTTCTAAAAGTCTAATTTTAGTTATACATAACCGAAAAATTGGTACGGTGCAAATTTTATAAAATAACCGGCCGAACCGAATCATTGACACCCTACCTCAGCCTACCACCCAGTCGTCCCTCG